GAGAGAGATGTGTGTGTGAGTGTGTGTTGTGAGTGTGTGGTGTTGGTGGGAGTGTGTGAGTGTGGTGTGGGAGTGTGTGTGTGGGAGTGTGTGAGTGTGTGTGTGGAGTGTGTGGTGTGTGTGTGGTGAGTGTGTGTGTGTGTGTGTGGGAGTGTGTGTGTGGGAGTGTGGGAGTGTGTGTGTGGGTGTGGAGTGTGTGGTGTGTGTGTGTGTGTGTGTGTGTGTGTGTGAGAGAGTGTGTGGTGTGGTGTGTGTGTGGTGTGAGTGTGTGAGTGTGAGAGTGTGTGTGTGGAGTGGTGTGAGAGTGTGTGTGAGTGTGAGAGTGTGTGTGTGTGAGTGGTGTGTGAGTGAGTGGGAGTGTGGTGAGTGTGAGAGTGTGTGTGTGTGAGTGTGAGAGTGTGAGTGTGTGTGAGTGTGAGAGTGTGAGTGTGTGTGTGTGAGTGTGTGTGTGTGTGAGTGTGTGTGAGTGTGGTGTGTGTGTGTGTGTGGTGTTGAGTGTGTGTGTGTGTGAGTGTGTGTGAGTGTGAGTGTGTGAGGTGAGTGTGTGAGTGTGAGTGTTGTGAGTGTGAGTGTGTGAGTGAGTGTGAGTGAGTGTGAGTGAGTGTGAGTGAGTGTGAGTGTGAGTGAGTGTGAGTGTGAGTGAGTGTGAGTGAGTGTGTGTGAGCGTGTGTGAGCGTGTGTGAGCATGTGAGTGAGTGAGTGAGTGAGTGAGTGAGTGAGTGAGTGTTGTGTGTGTGTGTGTGTGTGTGTGTGTGTGTGTGTGTGTGTGTGTGTGTGTGTGTGTGTGTGTGTGTGTGTGTGTGTGTGTGTGTAAAAGGGGCTTAGACATCCAGGAAGCATTTGCAAGTGTAAGGGATAGGAGTGGAGGCAAGTGGTTTGTATGACTTGATGTGCTGTTGGAACGAGAGCAAGTTAACAGTTATGAAAGGATTCAGGTAAAAGAGTTAGCCAGACTTGAGCCATGGAGGTGGAAGGTAGTGGCCGCACTCCCAAGGGGTGGGAATATTTGTAGGTTGAAGTGTAGTATCATTATGCCTCTGGCAAGAGTGATGGAATAAGTGATGTTTCCTTTGCAGATCACCCTACCTCAATGCTCAAGAGAGCATGAACTAACATTAAAAAGAAAAGGAGAGAAAAAAAAAAATAAGTGGTAAACGAAGACCTTTTTTTTTTTCTTGAGACCAAGAAATTGAATCAGGAACCCCAAGAAAATTAATTTCAAAAATCCTCATGCACGATGAACAGGGCCAGTGGATTGAGAAAGGCCCTACCCCTCATGGTCATACTGGGAATGTTAAGACTGAAATACTAGTGATATTCAAGGCACAGGGCCTCTATGTAGCCTGCAATCTAATAATATTAATTACTGGTAAATTAATGCATCCATGGTAATGGAAAACATAATATTCTACTTCATGAAATTGGTATTTTCCAAAATGATGACTCTTGCAATTCCAGTAAATGAAGACAAATTTTTTCCCTGTAAAATACAAAAATCTAGCTACTGAATCTGCAAAGAGGTGAGCACAAACTCATCTTTACTAGGAATGAGAGTATGGGCCAAACCAGAGGAAATGGTCCTAAAAATTCTTAACATTTGGAAGTACAGTAGAACCCCCCCATACCCACAGGTCAAATTTCAAAGGTTCACCTGGGCCTGAAAATATTAAGAGGGGGGGGCATGATTCAACTTGGAAAATCCTAGCGACGACAGCAGTGACTAGACGACTAGCGACGACAGTAGTGATGAGACAACTAGCGACGACAGCAGTGACGAGACTAGCGACGACAGCAGTGGCGAGACTAGCGACGACAGCAGTGGCGAGACGACTAGCAACGACAGCAGTGGTGAGACGACTAGCGATGACAGCAGTGATGACAACAGTGAAGATAAGACCAGTGGTGATAATAATAGTCACCAACCACCCTAATTATTGTCCACATCAACTGCACTCTCAGTTACCCATCAGCCACATTACCTCCAACACTGCCACCCACATGGTCACCATCACACTACTGTGTTCCTTCCAGCCTCCAATACCCATTATCATAGGTATGTATGTAAACGAAAACTGAAACATACTGTCCACCCTTATCCTTGGTAGATCTCGGAACATATTCCCTGCAGATACAGGGGGGCTACTATACTAAATCCATAGGGGACATACAACACCTGGGCCAAGGGAAGTAAATGGGTATGATAATGGAGGTAAAATACTGGCCCATGTGGTCCTGAGAATCACATGAAATGAGTGGGTATTAAACTCTGACTAACATTTTTAGGAAAGGCATGGATGGATGGATGGATGGGAGGGATAGATAGATAGATAGATAATATATATATATATATATATATATATATATATATATATATATATATATATATATATATATATATATATATATATATATATATATATATATATAATATGTATGTATGTATGTGTTGTGTGTGTGTGTGATGAATGTTGCAGCGAGAAGGCTGGAGATGTCATGTCTGAGGGCAATGTGTGGTGTGAATATAATGCAGAGAATTCGTAGTTTGGAAGTTAGGAGGAGGTGCGGGATTACCAAAACTGTTGTCCAGAGGGCTGAGGAAGGGTTGTTGAGGTGGTTCGGACATGTAGAGAGAATGGAGCGAAACAGAGTGACTTCAAGAGTGTATCAGTCTGTAGTGGAAGGAAGGCGGGGTAGGGGTCGGCCTAGGAAAGGTTGGAAGGAGGGGGTAAAGGAGGTTTTGTGTGCGAGGGGCTTGGACTTACAGCAGGCATGCGTGAGCGTGTTTGATAGGAGTGAATGGAGACAAATAGTTTTTAATACTTGATGTGCTGTTGGAGTGTGAGCAAAGTAACATTTATGAAGGGGTTCAGGGAAACCGGCAGGCCGGACTTGAGTCCTGGAGATGGGAAGTACAGTGCCTGCACTCTGAAGGGTGTTAACGTTGCAGTTTAAAAACTGTAGTGTAAAGCACCCTTCTGGCAAGACAGTGATGGAGAGAATGATGGTGAAAGTTTTTCTTTTAACAGTATACTTTTGTATGGTTTTTATGGTTGTATTCTCATTTTTTTTTCTGGTCTCATTTGATAGAATGGAAGATATATTACAGAAATAGATGATTTTGAAAGATTTCATGATGAAAAGTACCTTGAAATTGAGCTTAAAGTAGCAAAATTGTTTGATTTTTGCCGATGTTCATGTGTAAACAATACCTGTCCGAGTGGCCGTTCCAAATACGAAGTCATGAATGGGTTGACATTATTTACACATTACAATAATGCAGTAGTCTGCATAACAGTAAATCTTCTATTTTTTTGTGAATAAAAATTCCAAATGGTAAGGAAGAGTATAATAATAATATGGATAATAAATAATTATATATGTAATATAAATTATTTTAATACGTATGTACTACTAATAATAAATACTATAAAAATTATAAGCGAGTTTGAGAACACGACCATGAGATGGCATTACGTGTATGAAAACAACACTCAGACAGCGTGTGCTTCAACTGGCGGTGGAGATAATTCTCCTAATTTCCTCACATTTCGTGCAGTTATTTTGCAGTTTCTTGTTTCTAACCATGGATCCTAAGAAAACAAGTGCAAAGGGCAGTGTTGAGAAGAAAAAGAGGATGATTTCCAAGGAATTAAAGCAGGAAATCATTGATAAACTAAGAGTGTAGCATTAAGAGTAGCAATTAAGTGATAGAATAAGGATGAAATGAAAAGAACTTCTGACAGCATATGCCGCTGTGCCTAGCATCTCTTTACCTCATCAACCTTTGCCAGCATCTCTTCTCCAAGGTAAATGTTGTAGTACTATTTTTATTTATTACGTATTATTATTAATATTGTTTTCCTTATGAAACTACATGATCTAATGGAGTCTGCCTTACAAACACTCCGTTTTCTGTTATAATAGAAGCACGGGAAGGTATGTAGTCAGGAGCAGGAGCAATGGCCACTGTGCCACCACCTCCACTACCACTACTCAAATATGTGATGACATATTTCATTCATTCTAGTATATATATCATGTTTCTGTTATTAATATTGTTTATGATGTCATATTAGACGAGTTGTGATAGATAAATAAGCTGCAGAGTTGATATTAGGGAAATATTCAAGTATTTTGTCGTGCCTGGAATTCTGCTGGGATGGATTAATTACATTTCAATTAATTTAAATGAGGAAAATTGACTCCACAAACGAGCAAATCCAGATGCGAGCAAGGTCACGGAACTAATTAAAACTCATAAGTAGAGGTTCCACTGTATTTCCATCCAAGATGGATTAGAAATGGGTGGTGGAAAGATAAACATAAGAACTTGGGGGATATCTAGCTCATGAAGAATAAACAAAAGAGTGGATGATGAGCATATCCAAGAAGCATTCAAACCAATGACATACCTCAAGAGTGTAGTCTGTGTTTAAATCCACTGTACAGTTGGCTAAACACACTGAACACTATCCTGCTAGAATACAGCCTGTCTCTCCAGCAGAATGAATTAAAAAACCTACATATAGTAAATGATGAAAACTCTCCATGTTGACAAAAGAGCATGACTAAGCAGAGGCAGTTAACAAGGGTTTTGTGCTCTAATTCATCAAAGGAAAGCAGATGCCCATGCACTCAGGAAAGTAAATGGTAAAACTGAGCACAAAAATGTTCCGAGTCTATTATTGGCATTAGTGAGGTTAACTCAAACTGTCCAAACGTAGCTCTACGTTCACGTGTGTAGCGCTCCAAACGTAGATCTACATTTTATTTTACATGTTTCCAAATGTAAAAAAAAAAAAGTAGATCTATATTCGGAGTGCTACACACATGAATGTAGATGTATGTTTGGACAGTTGAAGGGTTAAACAAAGAGGTTGCTATTCCCACAAGTGGTTTATGAAACTTGAGCACAAAACAGATATTATATTGCTGTAACAAAAATCAATACTCACCTAGGTCATTCAGCACTTCAAACATTAATTCAGGCACTAGCTTACCAGGTCAATGGAAACAATTTCACCACTGGATTTCTTCATCTTTTTCAGCTTAGATAAGAAGTACCAGAACCGAGACTTGGCAGTTACTCTGTCTGGAGCAAAGATGCGCATCTTGTAGAGTTGTGGAGTTGGGTCTGTATCAGAGGGGAGCTTGCGTCCAATGACGCTGTACTCCTTTAGCTGAAATTTAGTTATCAGTAGTTGAAAATTACAAGAATTTAAAATTTATTAATAAACTGTATAATAAATGTTAAAAATAAGGCAAACTAACAAGAGCTATTTGCATACTACACGTGGTCATCATTTTATACCTTTTAGAGAAAATAAGTCACTGTCATTACCTTGGAAGAAATTTTTTCAGTGCAGCTACAACCATTCTGTAATATACTTTTGATGAGTTTCAAGAGTTTTTCTACTCCCAGAGCTTGGTCCTGGGCTGGGCTCGGGGAGATTACTCAGTGGGATTACTAAAAGTATCATACAAGGGGCTGAGCAGTTGCTGAGGTGGTTTGGACATTTAGAGAGGATGGAGCAAAATAGGATAACCTGGGTGTATAAATCAGTTCAGGGAAGGGGTTCACCATAAGAAAGGTTGGAGGGAGGCAGTGAAGGAAATTTTTGTAAATGAGGGGCCTGGACATCCAACAGGAGTGTGAACATGTTTGATTGGAATGGACACAAGTAGTTTTTATAACCAAATGTGTTGCTGGAATGTGAGCAAGGTAGCATTTATGAATGGATTTGGGGAAACCAGTTATCTAGATTTGAGACCTGGAGGTAGGAAGCACAGTGCCTGCACTGAAGGAGGGGCAGGGATATTTGTAGTTTTGAGTGGCATCTGAACTGTAATATTAGCTTGCCTTTGGCAAGACAGTGATAGTGTTTCTTATTGTTTGGGTCACCCTACTTCAGAGAGGCCCTTTTCATTTCTAGGAATGCTCCTAGATTTTTCAAAACTGCCAACATCAGTGAATAATCCAGATGGCAAATTCAGTGACTTTGTAAAATATAATTATACAGCAATATAAATGCATTAATCTTTTAATATCAATGTATTATTAGTACTGCAATTATCCGTTTTGTCCATACTGATGTCTTATTTCAGTACCTAAAAAAGCTTTTTGCTTACTTATCACATAACCAAGACACTGAAATATGTGTTTTACAATTTATTAAGAGACTTGGCTCAGTATTATGAGCTGTTAACATCTCTCTCAAACACCATCCAAGTACATGTATTACCCATATGAAAGGTTTCTGAGATGTGCGATCACACCAACATTTCCAAGTCACCGATCAGTCAGGAGTAATTTGGTATTTTCTTAATTGTTAGTGAAGGGTTCTTGCAGTAGGTTTACTTAGGTACAATTACACACAAGTACATTTAAACAAGTTTTAGGTGATTAAAACTATCTTACATGGTTGAGTGATAGCCTCCTCACCTCACACACCGAGGGTCCAGGATTGATTCCTAGAATGGGTGAAAAGGTGGGCAGGTTTCCTTACACCTGCTGCCTGTTCACCTGAGTGTTTGCCGAATATTAAAGGCAAGCTGCCCAAAGTGCTCTGCATAACCAGGAGCTTTCTATACAGTATGCCAATGTCAGTTAGGTCTGTACGAGTTTTATCATGCACTTGTAGAAATTATTAGTGTGCAAATTACCTAGGATAACCCAAAAAGTAAAAGGGACTTATTTCCAGTAGAGTCCTTGCAATATCTAAATATTACCATACTGTGTAATAACCACCATTTCCATATCCACTAATATTCTCTATTGGATTAATAAGGGCATCAGTTGGCAAAAAAGTTTCCACCATAAAGATAACTTAAGTACTGTACCATTACATAAATAAAAAAAAACTTGAAACAATGATTTTAAGGTGGATAAATTTCAATAAGGAAAGGTTATACGAAAGTGCTGATTTCTCGATAGTTACAGATAAACAGTCTACTGAGTTCTCAGAGGCTACAGCTTGGGTAGCTTTTAAAATATTTTAGATAAATATAAGAGTATCAAGAGTTGGAGTTGAGGAACTACTGTAATTAGACACATGTGCAACTCTTGGGTATCTTTATGAAGGAAACGTTTCGCCACACAGTGGCTTCATCAGTCCATACACAGGAGAAGCTTGAAGAATAGGAGGAGAATGAGGTAATCAGTCCGTCAACCTTGAGGGACTGACCAAGAGTTGCACATGTGTCTAATTTATCAACGTGTCGGTTCTGTGAACCATTCATCTACAACTACTGTAATGTTCTCTAGTTGTTTAGCTATCAAAACTTATCGGTCCAGTCCCTGGACTCATTGTGTGTGCCTGTAATCTTTTGACTACCACCCACACCTTGAGTATGGGGTGCATAATAAAGATGTTAAACTACCAATACCAGGGATGTACTGGTTGGAAAAGGAATTGTATGAGTTAGTTTAAATAGTAAGACTGAAACACTTCTGGTGGCTTTAGACATATTACATTTACACATACAAGGGAATAGTGTTTAAAGTGCTTCACATGGTGAGGATCTGGGTTCGATTCCCGGTGAAGGGTGGAAACACTGGACGTGTTTCCTTACATTGGTTACCCACGTTCACCCATCAGTAATAATAGGTACCTGGGTGTTAGTGGACTGGTGTCAACTAGACCTGTATACCTTGTACATGTTCTTGTAGAAATAAAAATATTATTATATATTTTTACTTACAACAAACCTCAACGTTTACAAGTGTTCAGTTTAGCTCTTAATATCAGAAACATCGGTCAAATTTTCAGCTAAAAACTCTTATATTTCATAAAAGTTTTGATTCAACAGGTTTATGAACCAGTATTCAGCGCCATATCTCAAGATAATACATAAAATAAACTATCTTTTGATATGTGTAATATTATCACGAGAGTAACACATTCACATTTGGCTATATTAATATACATATTTATACTTTAAAAATATTATATGGACAAACGGCATTATTCTTCATTGTTGCGTACGCTAATAAACCATTAAAAGGAAGATAAGGCTGCATAATTAAGTGAAAAAGGTGAAAATAACAGAGAACATACCATTCCAGAGGCCTTCATGGTGGCGGTGTAGTGTGGAGGGACACACACACACACCAACAACACTCACTTTCTCTCACCAACAATACACACTTCTGAAATATACGCAAATGCTCTCTACACTTTATTATCAAGACACAGCACAATTAAATATAAATAATTTTGAATTTATTGCGTAATTTGTTTTTTATTTACAACACTTACCTGTAAACTACAAATAATTCATAATAATATAATAAACTGAAAGGGACAGTTTATAGAGACTTTTAATAGTAATAACGTCATCATTTATTTTTCTTACTTTAAAAATAAGGTAGTTATATGTTAATATTAAAAAATATATAATTTAGATTATATTGTTTTATTGCTGGAACACAAGTGACAACATGGACAATCTGAGTGGCCTCGTGTGTACCACTTAACATATAATCATGACTTCTTGACACTACACTCCAAGGACTGCTACTACCTTCAATAGGTATAATTAACACATGACCTTCCTTTGTGCTATAATTGAATAAAATGTTGGTGATATTAAGAGATGAGGCGCCAGAGTTTGTGTGGTGAGTTAGGTGGGTCACATAACATGAACAGCTGACTGTGTCAACTGAGTGAAGAGTTTTTAGTTTTTGTTTGCGCTCTTCATTCTCTCTATATATTGTCCCCTTAAGAAAGTTGCCTTAATGTTGGTGAGGGGTCTTGATCCAAGGAATTGGACCTGATCTTTCCTTCATGGTTGAACTTTGCTTCCCATTACCCCAGAAGCTGTATGACCCCTGTGGGTTATGCGCTTCCCCTTTGTAATAATGCTGTGTAAGGTAACTAACTAATATATAGCTTCAGGTTTAAGAATATGGGACTTTTTGAATTTAATAATTTCTAAATTATGCTTTATACTTTTATAAGAGGGATTTTCAAATTTTCCTCCATCATCAACACCCTCGGCTTGATGTATTTCTCCATTTACCCTCATACTTCCATACAAACAATTTATTGCCATCATAAAGGGACAGAAAAACAAGCCAGAAAAAAATAAATTATTCAGGTTTTGCACAAAAATAGCGCAAATATTTAACCCTTGCTGTGTAATTTTTTACCCCCAAGGGGTAAGTTTACCCCTGGTTGAGAATCGCTGCTTTATAACCAGTACTCTCAATATAGACAAAACCTACTTCATGCTATTTGGAAACACAGCTTCAAATGTACAGCTAAACAAATTGATAAATGGTTCACCCATTTCAAGACACAAGGCAAATTTCTAGATCTCCACCTTGACTACAGACTCAGATTCCAAACCCACGTACAGCAAATATCCAGGAAAGTCTCCAAAACAGTAGGCATCCTATCAAAAATACAGTACTATGTACCCCAAATGGGTACATAGTACCATTCTCTCATTTACCCTTAGCTCATCTATGGTATTTGTGCAGGGGGCTCAACCACAGCAAATCACCTTAAGCCTTTAATAACCCAGCTAAAAGCTGCAGTGCGATTGATTACTAACTCCTGCATTAGACAACACACACCACCTCTTTTCAAGAGTCTTAACTTGCTAAATATACAAAACATTCACACTTATTATTGTGCCTACTTCTTACACAGAACACTATACTCTAATGTAAACCCTCCTCTCAAACTCCTCCTTGATAACTATAACAACACAACCATAATATGAGACACATCACTCTTCGATATCCCTTGTGCACGTACAAGGCCCGAAGATCTGGAATTCATTGCCAGAACACACTAAATGACTCCTGTCTGAAAATCAGTTTAAGGCCCTAATAAGAAATCACCTCATCACCTAAAATTAACCAGACAAACCGTACCTAATCACTACCAGTTTCTCAAAAGCTACTCGTATTGTGCTGATGAATGCTCAACCACTTATTACTTCTAAATTAGGATGTCTATTTTTCCATTGTTTTAAATAGTAGTAGATTGTAATACAGTACATCATAATGTAAATTGTTCCATTGTAATACCAAATTTCATTGTTTTAAATAGTACTAAACTTTTTTGGGTTATCCTAGGTTCTCTACACATGTGCTGCTATGTATGATAATTCTATGTAACTGTATTTGTGTATACCTGAATAAACTTACTTACTTACTTAATACATCATATTGTAAATTGTTTTAAATTGTTACATTGTAATACTGTAATCCTCATTAACTAATTCAGTAGTGTAATAAGTCTCGACTAGACTTATCAAAACCATGTAGCATTACCTGATAGAATATACAATTCTACTGTACTCACTGTAACTTATCTAATAAACATATGAACTATGTATTATTGCCTTACTAATCTTAAGTTAATCTCTAAGTTTGCCCGAAATGCTCTGCATACAAAGGGACTTTTGGCATGTATACCCAACTATTATATTCCTCTGTACAGCCATGTAATTTGTCAAAATAAACATCTTTATCTTTATGTAGTATATCTTCTTTTATTGTAACTGCTTTTCATATAGTTGAGTTACTTTGCTGTTTTAACTTTTAAGGTTAAAATAAGATATTACAGGGACCCCAGTAGAAATAAGTCACTTGACTTTTTTTTTTTTTTTTTTTTTTTTTTTTATCCTGGGTAATCTACACATGTGCTGCTATGTATGATAGTTTATGTAACTACTTATGTGTACCTATACCTGAATAAGCTTATTTATATACATCTCTAACTTAGGACTTCTGGACTCCAGTTTCATGTCATAGGGGCTACTACTACACCTACTGTCCTTGCATGGTGACCTCGCTAATCCCCAGGATTCAAATGAGGGCTCTACATGGCTTGCACAATGGTTAATAACTCAATAAAAAATCACTGTGTGAATGATCACCCATTCCAGTGTGCCAGACAACACACTTTCCCACACTTCTAAAGCTTGAACTTACTTACTTTACAAAATATACACTCATACTACTGTGCTTACTATCTGTATATTACAATCAGCTCTAATATAAACTCTTCTCTGAAACTTTCTTTTGATAGCTGCAGCAGAACACACAGGCATAACACAAGACATCCCCCATGTCTAACTCAGCATGTGTAAAAACTCAATGTGCATAAATGGCAATGAGATCTGGAACTCCCTGCCTGAAGCATAAAAGGTCTCCTGTCTGCCAATCAATTCAGAGATATTGTTAAAACTCACCATCTCCTTACATAATTGAGACAGCAATATGCTATGTCAAACAAAACCAACTTTTACCAAATTCTGTCCCTGTTCTTCTTCCAGCCTTCCTTCTACTCTCATATATAATTGGTAACATATCTTTTCATATTTTATTTCTGTTGTAATGTAAGTAACTTATTATATTTTCATCTCTATTCAGTCAATCCACAAAACTGAAGATAATTGAATCAGTTTAAAATAATATGTAATTCTTTTATAATTGGCCATTTGTCAATAGCTACCTTTCTTATTTTACATAACTGCACTTGCATATTTTAAATCCTACCTTTCTAATAGATATCAGTATGTCACCATTAAAGACACAGCCTCATCAGTACGGCCACTTGATACTGGAGTTCCGCAGGGAAGTGTCCTTGGACCCCTGCTCTTCCTCATTTACATCAGTGATCTTCCAAACATATCCCAACACCTGAAACCCATTCTCTTTGCTGACGACACAACTTATGTCATCTCCCACCCAAATCTTGCCACCCTCAACACCATTGTTAACAAGGAGCTGCTCAAAATATCGACATGGATGACAGCCAATAAACTTACACTTAACACTGGCAAAACCTACTATATTTATGTTTGGTAGCAGAGCAGGTGTTGCGCAACTTAACATTAAGATCGACAACACTCTAATTGCCAGACATAATGAGGGCAAATTCCTTGGCGTATACCTCGACAACAACCTAAATTTCAGCACCCATATCCAACACATAACAAAAAAAGTATCCAAAACGTTGGGGATCCTCTCCAAGATACGATACTACGTGCTGCAAACTGCCCTTCTCACACTATACCATTCACTTATATATCCATACCTCACCTATGCTATCTGTGCTTGGGGTTCAACTGCAGCAACACGCCTAAAGCCAATAATAACCCAACAAAAAGCCGCAGTAAGAATAATCACTAAATCCCATCCCTGGCAACGCACCCCCTCACTCTTCATAGATCTAAACTTACTCCCTGTTCAGAACATCCACACTTACTACTGTGCAATCTATATCTACAGGACCTTAAATTCCAATATTAACCTTGGCCTAAAATGCTTTCTTGATAGTTGTGACAGGATCCACAGGCATAACACCAGACACAAACATCTCTATGACATTCCCCGTGTTCGACTAAACTTTTACAAAAATTCAATGTATTTCAAAGGACCTAAAATCTGGAACACCCTACCTGAAAACTCTAGAACTGCAGACACATTCATCACTTTCAAAACTACGGTTAGAAAACATCGTATCTCCCTGATCCACCCCGACAACTAACTACATTATAACCACCTGGTGGTTCACAATTACACTCACCCACTGACTATAAACCCAGAAATATTAATCTTAATCTTAAAATAATAAATCCTAACTAGTCATAAGTTTGCCTATGATACTTCAATATAGACACCTTGTATTGTGCCAAAACAAAGGCATTCACATTGCTAAACTCACAAATTATGATGTAGTCACTTAGCCTTAATACCATAATCTGTAAGGATTTAATGTTAAGAATTAATGTAAGTCTGCTTGAAATGCCTAGCCATGCTAGGTGTCCTAGTGGCCCCCTCTGTAATTAGTATTTTATAACATGTAAACCACACAATACCCAAAACCTGTAAACCCCACATTGTAACCTTATAAAGAATAAACTTGAATTAAATTGAATTGAATTGAATTAGTTGCCTGAACATGGCCCCTGGGGCCATATGTTCTAATTTGAGCAGCAGGATTTTTGTACTATATTTAGATTTATTTTAGGGTATGTTTGGTTATTGCTTACTAATAATTATAGTATTTACATAAGACATTATTTATATTAGACATTACCTCTGACTGATTGGCAACTTGGGAACATCAGTGAGGTCATTGTTGTTATTGTTAAATTAAATTAAAATTATTTATTTCAAAAGTCATACATACAAAATGATTTCATATTATTTTATCATAATATAGTGCAGATGAAATTAAATATAGTATAAAGCTCTTGTGAAAGTCACTAATTATGCAATGCATTTCAGGCAAACTGTGTGGTTCATGGAGTTAATGGTTTTAGGTGATTTGACGTAGATCCCCAGGCACAAAGACCATAGGTGAGGTAAGGATAGATTAGAGAGTAGTACATAAAGTACAGTGTAAGTAGTTCTGTTCAAGGTGCATAGTAACATATCTTGGAGAGGATGCCTACTATTTTAGAGACCCCTCTTAGCTAAATTTCATGTCGCAGTCAAGGTGTAAACCTAAGAATTTACCCTCGCTGTGTCTTACAATGGGAGAACCATTGATGATTAGGTTTAGTTGGATATTTGAAGCCTTGTTTCCAAACATGTAGGTTTTGTCAATATAAGAGTGAGTTTGTTGGCAGTCATCCAGGCAAGCAGCAAAAAAGCCTGGTCTCAGGTATTGTACTGCTCTCTAATCTATCCTTAACCCTTTGACTGTTTCAGTCGTATATATCCATCTTACGAGCCAATGTGTTTGACGTAGTATATATACTCAAAAATTCTAGTGGCTTCAAATCAAGCAGGAGAAAGCTGGTAGGCCTACATGTGAGAGAATGGGTCTGTGTCGTCAATGTGTGCAGTATAAAAAAAAAAATCCGACAGCAAGAAGTGCATTATGAGAAAAAAAAACTCCGTCTGTGTTTTTGGATTAAAATGCTGAATTTGAGGTGTATTTTTGTATAGTTTTTATGGTTATATTCTCGTTTATATAGTCACATTGATAGAATGGAAAACATATAGAAATGGAGGTGATTTTGATTGGTTTTACTATGAAAAGGACCTTGAAATGGAGCTCAAAGTAGGGGAAATGTTTGATTTTTGCCGATGTTCACGAGTAAACAAATGATGTCGTCCAATAAATGTCCAACTAGCCATTCTAATATGCAGGCATGAATGGGTTGACATTATTTATACAATTAAGTATTACAATAATGCAGTAGTCTGCATAATGGTAAATCTTCTATTTTTTGTTTGAATAAAAATTCAAAATAGAAAGAAAGGGTAATATCAGAGGGGCCTGGAGACGTGACTGATGAACAAAGAAATGTTATTTTAGAGCCAGGAATGTCTGCATTGTTCATTCTGGACCCTATTTTGAAATTGGCACATTTTTTAATTTGTGTGAAATTGGCCAAATTGCCAATTTCTGACCACTTTATTGGGAAGTTGAAATTAGTAAATGGGCAGTTTCTTCTACTCAGCCGTAGAACAAATGGAGTTTTAAAGAAATAGCTATGAGTTTGGTTAACTGGAGCAATGGAATTAGCCGAAAATAGGGCTCAAAGTGGGCAAAATCGCCGATTCGTAAATATCGCTATTGCGAAATTAGCGAGCGTAATTCCATAAGTTTTCCATCAAATTTTGTACTTTTGGTGTCATTACCATCGGGAAAAGATTCTCTATTATTTCACGAGAAAAAATAATTTTGTTTTTTCAAATACAGTGGACCCCGTTTACGATATTATTTCATTCCAGAAGTATGTTCAGGTGCCAGTACTGACAGAATTTGTTCCCATAAGGAATATTGTGAATTAGATTAGTCCATTTCAGACCCCCAAACATACACATACAAACGCACTTACATAAATACACTTACATAATTGGTCGCATTGGGAGCTGATCATAAATCGGGGGTGCACTGTATTTTTGCGGCACCAGGAGACACCTCAGGATTTGGGGTTGCGACAGTCAAAGGGTCAACTTGACTATGATATTTGTGCCCGGGTATCTACTTTGTCAAATCACCTAAAACCAATAATAACTACAAAAAAAAAATCTCTTGACCCTTTCAGGGTTGAGAGGCCCTCTCCTAAGCTTGTTTTCAGGGTCGAAAATTTTTCGGAAAAAAAAAATTCTTATGAAAAGATAGAGAATCTTTTCCTGATCTTAATGACAGTAAAAGTATGAGATTTGATGGAAAACTTACGGAATTATGCTCTCACAAAGTTAGCGGTCTCGGCAATGTTTACGCATCGGCGATTTCGCGCACTTTGAGCCCTATTTTCGGCCAATTCCAGTGTACTAACCAACAAAAATCATAACTATTTCGCTAGAACTCCATTTTTTTCTATCGACTGAATACAAGAAACCATCCATTTACTGATTTCAACTATAAAATGAAGTGGTCAGAAATTAGCAATTAGCCAATATCACACAAATTTCAAAAGATGCCAGTTTCCAAATAGGGTCCAGAATAAACAAGACAGACATTCCTGGCACTAAAATAACATTTCCTCTGTTCATTAAGACATTCCTGGCACTAAAATAACATTTCCTCTGTTCATTAAGACATTCCTGGCACTAAAATAACATTTCCTCTGTTCATGCCCCTCTTACATTTCTTTTGCTTTCCACTTTGAATTTTTATTCTCACAAAATATAGAAGATTTACTGTTAGGCAGACTACTGCATTAGTGTAGAAATAGTATAAATAATATCAGCACACTTGTGAAAGAATATTAGATTCACCAGTTGACGTGTATTGGATGCGTGGCATGATTTGTTTACTTTTGAACTTTGGTAAAAATCAAACATTTTTGCTACTTTGAGCTCAATTTCAAGGTACTTTTCATTGTGAAACCAGACAAAATCATCTCAATTTCTGTAATATGTCTTCCATTCTATAAAATGAGACCAGGAAAACTGGAATACAACCATAAATGCCATACAAAAATACAGTGCAAAGTCACTGTTTTAAACCAAAAACATTGTCAAAGTTTTTTTTTTCTCTTTATGCACTGTGTGCTGAGGATTTCTTTTATACTGTGCACGCTGACCACATAGACCCATTATTTCATATGTAGGCTTACCAGCTTTCTCTTGTTAGATTTGAAAGGTCTAGAATTTAGGTGTACTAGTACGTCAATAACCTTGGTGCGTAAGCCGTACTAGTACGTCGGAAATCCTGAAAGGGTTAATATGCTTAGTATGCACTCATGCGGCCGACTTGTTGAAAAAAAAATGCGTATATATATATATACAGTGGACCCCCGCATAACGATCACCTCCGAATGCGACCAATTATGTAAGTGTATTTATGTAAGTGCATTTGTACGTGTATGTTTGGGGGTCTGAAATGGACTAATCTACTTCACAATATTCCTTATGGGAACAAATTCGGTCAGTACTGGCACCTGAACATACTTCTGGAGTGAAAAAATATCGTTAACCGGGGGTCCACTGTACAGGTACCATCCGACTTACGACCAAGCTTGGTTCTGACCAACCAGTCGTAAGTCAAAATGGACGTATATCGAACCTTTGAAAATTGCCGACATACTGTGTAGGGCATAATGTCAAACCTTACCTGTATAAACTACCTACAAAGTACTGTAATGTAGTGTACAATCATTATTTCATTCTTTTTACCATAATTTACTTCTATTGATATATTTTAATTATTTATGTACTGTATAATCTGTTAGAGTATACCTGGTAAAGTGTATGGTAGAGTTATTATTGAAAGAATTAAGAGTAAGATGGAGAATAGGATAGCAGATGAACAAGGAGGCTTTAGGAAAGGTAGAGGGTGTGTGGACCAGGTGTTTACAGTGAAACATATAAGTGAACAGTATTTAGATAAGGCTAAAGAGGTTTTTGTGGCATTTCTGGATTTGGTGAAGGCATATGACAGGGTGGATAGGGGGGCAATGTGGCAGATGTTGCAGATGTATGGTATAGGAGGTAGGTTATTGAAGGCAGTGAAGAGTTTTTACGAGGATAGTGAGGCTCAAGTTAGAGTATGTAGGAAAGAGGGAGATTATTTCCCAGTAAAAGTAGGCCTTAGACAAGGATGTGTGATGTCACCGTGGTTGTTTAATATATGAAAGATTGGATATTAGATTGGAGGGAGAGAGTATGGAGGGGGTGAATGTATTGGAGGATAGATGGGCTAATGAGAGCATAGGCAATGGGGTCGAAGAGGTATGGGGTAGGTTTAAAAATGTAGTGTTAGTGTTCAGCAGAAGTTTGTGGTTACAGGAAAGTGGGTGCGGGAGGGAAGAGAAGCGATTGGTGGAATGATGATGTAAAGAGGGTAGTAAGGGAGAAAAAGTTAGCATATGAGAAGTTTTTACAAAGTAGAAGTGATGCAAGGAGGGAAAAGTATATGGAGAAAAAGAGAGAGGTTAAGAGAGTGGTGAAGCAATGTAAAAAGAGAGCAAATGAGAGAGTGGGTGAGATGTTATCAACAAATTTTGTTGAAAATAAGAAAAAGTTTTGGAGTGAGATTAACAAGTTAGGGAAGCCTAGAGAACAAATAGATTTGTCAGTTAAAAATAGGAGAGGAGAGTTATTAAATGGAGAGTTAGAGGTATTGGGAAGATGGAGGGAATATTTTGAGGAATTGTTAAATGTTGATGAAGATAGGGAAGCTGTGATTTCGTGTATAGGGCAAGGAGGAATAACATCTTGTAGGAGTGAGGAAGAGCCAGTTGTGAGTGTGGGGGAAGTTCGTGAGGCAGTAGGTAAAATGAAAGGGGGTAAGGCAGCCGGAATTGATGGGATAAAGATAGAAATGTTAAAAGCAGGTTGGGATATAGTTTTAGAGTGGTTGGTGCAATTATTTAATAAATGTATGGAAGAGGGTAAGGTACCTAGGGATTGGCAGAGAGCATGCATAGTTCCTTTGTATAAAGGCAAAGGGGACAAAAGAGAGTGCAAAAATTATAGGGGGATAAGTCTGTTGAGTATACCTGGTAAAGTGTATGGTTGAGTTATTGTTGAAAGAATTAAGAGTAAGACGGAGAATAGGATAGCAGATGAACAAGGAGGCTTTAGGAAAGGTAGGGGGTGTGTGGACCAGGTGTTTACAGTGAAACATATAAGTGAACAGTATTTAGATAAGGCTAAAGAGGTCTTTGTGGCATTTATGGATTTGGAAAAGGCGTATGACAGGGTGGATAGGGGGGCAATGTGGCAGATGTTGCAGGTGTATGGTGTAGGAGGTAGGTTGCTGAAAGCAGTGAAGAGTTTTTACGAGGATAGTGAGGCTCAAGTTAGAGTATGTAGGAAAGAGGGAAATTATTTCCCAGTAAAAGTAGGCCTTAGACAAGGATGTGTGATGTCACCATGGTTGTTTAATATATTTATAGATGGGGTTGTAAGAGAAGTAAATGCGAGGGTCTTGGCAAGAGGCGTGGAGTTAAAAGATAAAGAATCACACATAAAGTGGGAGTTGTCACAGTTGCTCTTGGCTGATGACACTGCTCTTGGGAGATTCTGAAGAGAAGTTGCAGAGATTGGTGGATGAATTTGGTAGGGTGTGCAAAAGAAGAAAATTAAAAGTGAATACAGGAAAGAGTAAGGTTATGAGGATAACAAAAAGATTAGGTGATGAAAGATTGAATATCAGATTGGAGGGAGAGAGTATGGAGGAGGTGAATGTATTCAGATATTTGGGAGTGGACGTGTCAGTGGATGGGTCTATAAAAGATGAGGTGAATCATAGAATTGATGAGGGGAAAAGGGTGAGTGGTGCACTTTGGACAAGTCTGTGGAGACAAAGAACTTTGTCCTTGGAGGCAAAGAGGGGAATGTATGAGAGTATAATTTTACCAACGCTCTTATATGGGTGTGCAGCATAGGTGATGAATGTTGCAGCGAGGAGAAGGCTGGAGGCAGTGGAGATGTCATGTCTGAGGGCAATGTGTGGTGTGAATATAATGCAGAGAATTCGTAGTTTGGAAGTTAGGAGGAGGTGTGGGATTACCAAAACTGTTGTCCAGAGGGCTGAGGAAGGGTTGTTGAGGTGGTTCGGACATGTAGAGAGAATGGAGCGAAACAGAGTGAATTCAAGAGTGTATCAGTCTGTAGTGGAAGGAAGGAGGGGTAGGGGTCAGCCTAGGAAAGGTTGGAGGGAGGGGGTAAAGGAGGTTTTGTGTGCGAGGGGCTTGGACTTCCAGCAGGCATGCGTGAGCGTGTTTGATAGGAGTGAATGGAGACAAATGGTTTTTAATACTTGACGTGCTGTTGGAGTGTGAGCAAAGTAACATTTATGAAGGGGTTCAGGGAAACCGGCAGGCCGGACTTGAGTCCTGGAGATGGGAAGTACAGTGCCTGCACTCTGAAGGAGGGATGTTAATGCTGCAGTTTAAAAACTATAGTGTAAAGCACCCTTCTGGCAAGACAGTGATGGAGTGAATGATGGTGAAAGTTTTTCTTTTTCGGGCCACCCTGCCTTGGTGGGAATCGGCCAGTGTGATAATAAATAATAAATATATTTCAAATTGGTATTCTGTAGGAGGTAGGTCCTTAACTTATTATTATACTGACCAATTTACCTGACCTCAGTACGTCTGGTGGGAAAATCACTAGAATTGATAATTAATAATAAAATTAAAGGTCACTTCAAAGAGGACAAATTGATTAACAATTGATTAGCTACTGTTGAAGTTTACATAATGGGTATTCACTATTTTTTTTTACAGATTGTCATCTAAGTTATTGATGAGGTAGGGTGCTTAGTAAACGAGAAAATTGTGCTGGTCACTGAGACAATGGATGCCCAGATGCTTCAAGGCCTTTGGGCTCCAGATAACCAACAACAGCACACACAGGTGAGAAATGTTGGATTTCATTATGTATATATTGCCTTGATTAATCTAGTTCTTATATTTACTGACTGCAATTGATACATATACAGTGGAACCTTGACTTACAAGTTTAATCCATTCCGTGACCTAGCTCGTAATTCAATTTGCTCATATATCAAATAAGTCTTCCTTATTTAAATTATTTGAAATGCCATTAATCCGTCCCAGCGGCAGGACAAAATATTTCATTATAAGCTAATATCAACTCTACGGCTTATTTACCTATCACAATTCATCTAATATGACATAATAAACAATATAATTAACAGAGAAACATGATACATACTCTAGAATAAATAAAATAGGCTATAATATGACAAGTGATGATGGTGGTGGAAGTGGCGGTAACGTCTGCGTTTCGTCCTTTTTCTGTCAATCGCTTAAGGGGGGGCCGTAGGGCAATTTTCCGCGCGTGTTCACCCAAAAATCGGAAAAATATGGAAATTGAGTTATATGTACTGAAAAATAGCTCAACTCTTTGGCAACACAATGGTACCAGAATGAATGTTCTACGACGTTTCTACAAGAAATTATAGTAATTTATATGAGGTAAGGTGACGGTGATATTGGTATCGAGTCTGCTCACAGCCCATATATATTTTGGAAATTTTTCCTTGTTTTTTATCGCTTTTTCTTGCATTATACTTTCTAATATAATAACTGACTACTTGGCATCATAAAACTGAAGGCGGAGCTTATCCCTAGATTTAGCAACAGTCATTAATCATATCATGATGCGCGGAAGGGTTGCCGCGCCAGGAGAAATCACTCATTATTACGCTTATATCAGCTTATATATCAACTCTACAGCTTATTTATCAGAATTGATCTAATATGATATAATAAACACTATAAATAACATGCAAACATGTTATATACTCTAGACTGAATAAAATAGGCCATAATATGACGAAAGATTATCGGGAATATTTCGATCAATATTGAGTTATTCCTCTCCATGTCGTATTCTTTAGTCTCTGAGTAAGAGAAAACGGTGTTTTGAAGAGGCTAACTGCGCTAGAACATCAGTTTACTAAGAAACACACCCAAACAAACGCGATTTTCGCGATTTTTTTTTTTTTTTTTTTTTGAGACGGGAGGCCGGCCGGCGTTCCCGGCCGATATCTCGGAAGTAACTTATTCACCTAAAGTCCATCATCATTCCTTTATTACTTAATTAAATGGAATAATATTCACAGAAATTGTAGAATAATGATTTCTCTTATTTCCACCGATGAGTTTTTGGAAATATTCCAAATACTTTGGGAGTTATGTGGAAGTAAAGGGCAGATTTTTTTGCAATATTCCAGAAACTGACAAACTTTATTTTTTTGTGAAATAACGATAAGGTATTTTAGAGGAAATCGATCGGTCAGAATAAGTATTAGCATTGTTCTCTCGGCACCAAGTGTCCAAACAACCTTATGTAGCCCCATATAAGAATGACTTCTGTCCCAAGGGCATTTTCAGTAAATCAGTCTTTTCTCAGTTGTTGTTTGAGGTATATTTTTTATAAATATTTTCAAGAAAGAGTGAAAACACTTTGTCTTGTGCACCAAAACTGGAGAAAATCGGATGGTAAATAAACGAGTTACGAATTTTGCCCGACGGCGTCCTTAACTAACTTGCTACACTTTATCACTGAACTTAACTGATACAATTTGTTTTGTTTAATCACTGAACTTAACTGATGCAGTGGACCCTCGACATTTGATACTAATCCATTCCTGAGAGCTATCGAATGTCGAAAATATCGAAAGTCGAATTAATTTTCCCCATAATAAATAATGGAAATAAAATTAATCCGTGCAAGACACTCAAAAGTATGAAAAAAAAAAAAATTTACCACATGAAATATTAAGTTTAATGCAACAGAATAATTACAATAACAACAATAACAATAGATTAATAACAATAGAATAATTGACACTTACCTTTAATGAAGATCTGTTGATGATTGATGGGATGGGAGGAGGGGAGAGTGTGGATGGTGTTAGTGTTTAGAAGGGGAATCCCCTTCCATTAGGACTTGAACTGGCAGCCTCACCATGCCTTACCACACTGTGTATGCCACTACGATTCTTAAATCTTTCAAACCAACCTTTGCTGGCTTTAACTTCACTCACATCACCACTAGTTGCAGGCAATTTCTTTACCAAATCATCATGCACTCCGACACACGCACTCCACTTTCGTACTTTGCAATTATCTCTTTCTTCATTTCAATAGTCATTAGCACCTTTTTTCTCGAAGGGTTGGCACGAGAAGCTTTCTTGGGGCCCATGGTTACTTATTTTGCAGAAACAAGCACCAAAAACAGTGATAATATGGATAATGTGGAATGTACTGAATGTATCCTTAGATGCGCGCACACTGGCTGGCTTGTAAACACTGGCACACACGTGGACATGTCTCGTACGAATCGTATCGAATGTCGTGTTTTCCATCGAATGTCGAGGCGAAATTTTTGCGTTAAAATGCATTGAGTGTCGGATTTATATAATGTCGATGCCATTGAATGTCGGGGGTCCACTGTACAGTGGAACCTCAAATTTCGAACTTAATCCGTTCCAGGAGCTAGGTCTAAAGTCGAAAAGTTTGAAAGGTGAAGCAATATTTCCCATAAGAAATAATGGAAATACAATTAATCCATTCCCAAAACCCAAAAATATTCACAAAAAAATACATTTTATAAATAGTATTACATTATAGTTTTACATACACACAACAAATATAGTGTACAGTTATTAATAAATTTAAATAAACATATGAAATAACATTTTTACTTACCTCTATTGAAGATTGGTGATGGCATCTGGAAGATAGGGAGGAGGAGAGAGGGAGTTGGATAGGGAATCCCCCTCCATAAGGACTTTAGGTATCAAAGCCCTCTCTGGGGTTACTTCCCCTCTCTGTTTTTTAATGCCACTAGGACCAGCTTTAGAGTCACTGGACCCTTGTCTCACAAAATATCTGTCCACAATCCTCTGTTTCTGGCGCCTCTTTAAGATTTCCCTAAATTGGGACATGGTCCTGTCGCTGAACTTAATGCAAAGATGACTTGTTTCAGCTTGCTCAGGGTGGTACTTCTCCACAAACATTTGGACATTATTCCACTTAGCGCAAATCTCCTTAATCTTTGAATCAGCATGCAACTTCCTTGCCTTTTTACAAATAATCATCTCTGAAACACTATCACCTGCCATCTCTTTATCCTTGATCCACACCAGCAACAGCTTCTCAACGTGATCGATTGTCTGTGGTCTTTTCTTGGTTAGTATATCAACACCTTTCACAACATCAGCTTCCTTGATTTGTTCTTTCTTTGCCAGGATAGAAGCGATGGTCGACTTGTTTTCCCATACATCCTGGCAAGCTCAACAAGTCGCACACCACTCACATACTTCTGTATTATTTCCTTCTTCACATATATGGTATTTCTCACTTTCTTTACCACAGGGGTACCACTAGCAAGTTTCTTTGGGCCCACGGTAGCTTATTTCACAGTCCCACAAGCACACAGTCCACAAGCACACAATGAATTAATCATAAAATGTTTGAATGAGACTGCAGGTTAGTTTTCATTCAAGCATCAACAAAGCCAGACTGGCTCATGGCGCCTGCATGGGGACGCGGACAGAGTGGGCTGGCAGACAGGTCCGGTACCCGGCGGTTCGAAAAAAGGGGTGAGTTCGATAATAGGGACAAAGTTGGTTCGAAAAAAGCGGTCGAAAGGCGAAGAGTTCAATAAGCGATATGTTAGAAATCTGTGGTTCCACTGTACAATTTCTGTTGTTTGATCGCTGAACTTAACTGATACAGTGTGCTTTAATTCCATGGAAATCATCCTCTTTTTCTTCTCAGCACTGTCCTTTGCACTTATTTTCTTAGGACCCATGGTTAGTAAAAAGAAATTTGGCCAAATGACGTTAAAAAAAAATTCAAGCAAGCACAAGAGAACTGCTCCCACGGCGATGTAAACATGTGGACTCCTTAATAGATGTTTTGCCATCAGCTGCTCCATCTAGTGGCAGCATTCTGAATTATTATTACATATTATGTATGTATATGAATTATTTTTTCTTTTTTTTTTCAACAAGTCGGTCGTCTCCCACCGAGGCAGGGTGACCCAAAAAAAAAGAAAGAAAATCCCCAAAAAGAAAATACTTTCATCATCATTCAACACTTTCACCACACACACACATTATCACTGCTTTTGCAGAGGTGCTCAGAATACAACAGTTTAGAAGCATATACGTATAGAGATACACAACATATCCCTCCAAACTGCCAATATCCCAAACCCCTCCTTTAAAGTGCAGGCATTGTACTTCCCATTTCCAGGACTCAAGTCCGACTATATGAAAATAACCGGTTTCCCTGAATCCCTTCACTAAATATTACCCTGCTCACACTCCAACAGATCGTCAGGTCCCAAGTATCATTCGTCTCCATTCACTCCTATCTAACACGCTCATGCACGCTTGCTGGAAGTCCAAGCCCCTCACCCACAAAACCTCCTTTACCCCCTCTTTCCAACCCTTTCGAGGACGACCCCTACCCCTCTTTCCTTCCCCTATAGATTTATATGCTTTCCATGTCATTCTACTTTGATCCATTCTCTCTAAATGACCAAACCACCTCAACAACCCCTCTTCTGCCCTCTGACTAATGCTTTTATTAACTCCACACCTTCTCCTAATTTCCACACTCTGAATTTTCTGCATAATATTTACACCACACATTGCCCTTAGACAGGACATCTCCACTGCCTCCAACCATCTCCTCGCTGCTGCATTTACCACCCAAGCTTCACATCCATATAAGAGTGTTGGTACTACTATACTTTCATACATTCCCTTCTTTGCCTCCATAGATAACGTTTTTTGACTCCACATATACCTCAACGCACCACTCACCTTTTTTCCCTCATCAATTCTATGATTAACCTCATCCTTCATAAA